GCTAATACTGAATTAACGGGAGAAAATATTGAATAGAATAATCATCCATTAAAATGATATATCACTAATGTTCCGTTTAATAAGAATGATAAAAAATATAAGGGATAGAAAGTAAAAAAGATATATTTTCTATCCTTCAAGGAATGAAAGTAAAAATGATACATTTTTTTTTCTTTTATATTTGTTAGGATTGATGATGAAAAATAAAAATGACAATTTTTTTTTGTGTTTGATAAGATGGACAAAATATTTTTTATTTTTTAATTTTAATTTTAAAAAAAGTATAAATACATATTTTATTATTATATTTATATATAAAATTAATGTAAACGTAATATATGTATATATCAAAGGCTATATATGTAAATAAGATACATTTCAACACAAATAATTAACTTTCTATCCATTTTTTTTCCGATTTTAGAGGGATTGATTTTTGTGACTTGGAAGGAAAGCTCATTCATCCATTTTTTTATCTTTCTTATTTTTTTTCCTTACCAAACATGATGTTTTATCTATCCCGTCAAATTTTCATCTTTTCAACTTTCGATCCTTCTATATATCACTAACTCTTAAATATACCAAATTAGTATTTGGGTTTTTTTAGAAAGTATTATGTAAATTTGTTTTATAAAAAATGAAAAAATAATGCTAAACAAAATTAGAATTATATTATATGTAGCCATTTTAAGTTTTCATTAGGACCTTAGATCAAACTTATAAAGAAGAAAGCGCACACGTAGAATAAGAAAAAAGAAAACCGTTATGAAATATTATTTCATAATGATGAAAGTAGGTATGAGAGTGTATTATCTGAAGCCCAGCAACAAAAGCCCAGCAAAAGTTTAGACAAACCCCAAATGAAATAATAAATAAAATTTTTCATATCTCCTCCTAAATTCATGAAGTGATCATTGAAAATATTAGGAGTTTATTAAAAAGAAAATGAAAACATAATATCGTGTGAAATTTTGTAAAGAAATCAGTCAACCACGTAATAAAGAGCAAATAAATGGTCCCCAAACTAAAAATGGTAGCCCAATAAATGATAATCAATCTCAATATAATTGGTCCACTAATCAATAAAAATAAAGTTGTGTGCAATATTTTGATTAACACTTTTGTTATCACAATACGTAGGAATACGTGTAACCGAGAGTGATTTATATGCAATCTTAAATGAATTACAATAATGCTACATTTACTAAATTTTGTGATTAAATTTGAAGCCCAGCTGACATGGCAGCTGACTATTTAAAGTTTTTATTAGAGTCTAAATGACATGACACCAAATAAAGAAGTCTAAGTCAGCTGTCATGTCATTTGAATTCTAAATTTAGTCCAAAAATTTAATCAGTGTAACATAACTCAATGAATTATATGACCTTAGTGAGCATGATGTTGTGAGCATTTGAGTTGGATCTTAAAGTTATTGAAGCCGGTCATTACCCTTCCCAAGGGAGCTCCTTTGCTAGTAGGATTACATCAATACGGCAAATTACTTATTATGATTCCTCAATGATATTAAACCTATAAATATACAAAACAATAACACAAAAATTATTTATGTAATGAAAAATAAAAAAGTAACACATAAGAACAAAACAATGACACACAAAAAATTGTAATAAGTAAAAATGATTTGAATGCAAACCAAGAACGAAAATTGATATTTTAGATCAAGACTAGTATTTCATACTATGTCATTAAGATAGATTTTGCCTCCACACTGGTGCTAATAAAAATCTCAACATTTGTCTGATATTGATAGAATAATTTTTCATACAAATAGAAGTAGAATTTCGATCTGTTTGACCAATGAACTAGTGTATGTTTTGTACTTTAAAAAATGGACACTCTTAATGACTTAGTTTATGAATGTAATGACTCAGTTTATGAATCACAATATTTATTAGTACATAATGCAGAATAATTTTGAATTATTTATAGATGCAGAGGTGACTAATCAGAATAGTCACCATTGATCAATTAGAGAGTTTAAGGACTCAATTGACACACACACAAAAATTAGAGGCTTAACTGATAAAAGAGTCATAATTTGAGGGTCATATATGTCACATGGGTGACACACTTCGCTACTTCTGATAGAAAATCTAACGAAAAGAGACAAAAAGACTCTATTAACATAAAAACAAAAAAAAAATTTAAAAGTTTAATTGACTCATAGTTTGAAGACCATATATATAATTTATTCCAGTAACTTTTGCCAAATGAGTTGGCATACTCCCGTCGCTCCTGGGCCAATGCATAGCAACTAAAAAGGCTTGTGATTGAATCTGCAACTATTAGCTTTATTCAGCTTTGAGTTCTAATCAATTTATAACTACATCTTTACTCTGTTTTATAGTTTCGAGACTTTCTTGAATTGACTTTGATTACATATTTATGAGTTTGTTTAGATTTATTTCCTTAATTTAAAACAGAAGTTATTTAAAAATTAGTCTACAATTAGCTTTTATTTTTTTACGACTTTTGGTCTTTATTCCTCTATGTTGTGTTATTTCTATTTTTTCAAAACTTATTTTAGTCTTATCAATTAAAATCGACAATTGTGAAAATTTAATTGCATAGCTGAATGGATATCAATGGATGATAGTTTACTTGATTATATATTAAAAAAGACAACTTTGAAGGTATAAACAATGAAAGTGTCATACAACGTCTTCAAATATATAAAAATTATGGTCAATTACAATTTTTTGCAAATAGTTGTAGTTAGTCCCTTTTTTTCATTTGTATATCACCGATTTTTGGTCCTTTTGTGTTCAATGAATTTTTTTTATATCACATATGATATAATAAAAATACCAATTATTTTTTTTAATCGACTGAAAAAAAAAAAATTAAATCTTGTAATTGAAGTGCACGACCAATTTTCTATTTTTTTTTTCTTTTTGGCTTTATAACTTATCAGCCATAAGCACGATGTGTCCGATATGTAAACCAGGTTGCCAGATGCAGTTAATGATGTGCATGTTAAAAATCATGTGCTGCCCAGGGGCGGATTTATTTAGTATGAGGTGAATTTTTAAAAAATTTTGAATCTTTTCTCTACTAAAATTTTCATAAAATATAGATGGGGTTTGTGTAATTTTCAAACCATTAAACATAACTTTGGCAGCTCACTAATTTCACGTCATTTACTCATCTACAGGGGTGGCTTGATATGTTTTGAGGCCTAAAGTGATATATTCAATTGAATTTTTTTTAAAAAAAAAATTATCATAATAGTGCAAATTGTTTAATATTTTTTTTTTCTGGATGCATATTAATTGTTTAGTATTTGTATTGAAATTTTTCTAACACATCTTTTTTTTTTGTGATAGTATAACTAATTGACATAATTTTTAAATTAAATAAAAAATTTCAAAACTTTCAAATTCAAAGATTATTTGACAGATTACGTTGTCTCGTCATTGACACTCGTATAAAATTATTTTTCTATGAATTAGACATTAATCACTAAATATATATTTGATTAAGTTTTTTAAGATTATGATAAAAAAGGGAAATTTTATATGGACCTTATTTAATAACCATATTTGATGACTTTATTATTTTCTATCATTAGATTGACAGTAAATCCTACTATTAGTTGGAACCCATTATTAATTTCACAGCTATGATCCATTATGTCACCAGATATGATCATTAAATTAGGTACAAAACATATTTTCTTTTTTTTTTTTCTTATAAAATGTTATTGTGTGACATTAATGGATTAATGTTTTGGACCTAAAATCAGTCTAGAGTTTTTTTGTTGGTTTAGGTCTTGTTTTCTTATAAGACTAATTTTAATGGGTTAAAATTGATTTGGGCTATATTTGTAAACCTTTTAAATTTTGGGGCCTCTTTATTGGTGGGGCCTAAACCTTTTAAAAACTTGTCTATTTCAATTACAAATTCAGCACAACAAGACTCAAATATAAGGAAATTAGATCTGAAATTTCAGTAACAAATACCTCACAAGTATTTTGGATATATTGATTATATTATTTGTGGATTTATGAATTATATTTTGATTTTGTATAGTACATTATGTCATTCGTTACGAACTTAATGATGAACTATTAAATTTGAATCTAATTAGAAAATTTTATTTTTTAATCAGTTATGGATAAATTTTTTATAAAAAAAATTAATATTGGAACAACCATCTCCTAGTCAAGAAATAAACAGTATTTTGATGTGAAGTCTAATCTGTTTTTTGACAATTTTGGTTTAACCCATGAATTGAGCCCAAGCATAGTTGGATCTGGGCTCGTCAATACTGTCTTGTATTATATCAAACTTTTTACTCACATTTGAGTCAACGTTAGAGATGGCCACATTAAGATCATAATTAATAGTTTTATAGTTTCCTTCGAAATGAACAAGGAGATTTGGAAAGTTTTTACATTCAATTTTTTGTTTCGTTGATTTATGGCGTTGGATAACGATGTAACGATTCATATAAAAGATATCTATCTAAGGCTATGTTGTAAAACTTCTACGATCATGTATCCTAAAACATGAGAAATAATACTTCAATTGAACGACATACCAAAAAATACATTTCGGTTGAACAAGCCCTAGCAATTAACATGAAGACAACAATTTAAAAAAATAAACTAAAAAAAATTAGATCATATGAGTAAAAAAGTTGTGGCCGGTGTTCAGAAAGAAAACACACTGTGAAGTAAACAGAGGAAGAATAATTTGAATGTAGGCTTTGTTTGGTAGTTTACTTACAAAATAGAATTTGGCTTTCTTACTAAAATTTCATCTCTGGGTTCCAAAAGTCGCCATGACATTGGATCATCTTTTGGCCTCCAACTTTTTCCCCAAAAAAAAAAAAAGAGCAATGCTACAGGGGCAATATTTGCCGACTTCTATTTTGTAAGTAACAAAAATATAAGTTGATCGGCTTAATAGCCTACTCCACGGGCGAAGCACAGCAACAAAGTTTCGCTATTAATAAATGGAGATTATACAAAATTCTAGTCTAATGCCCATTTAGGAACAACAGTAAAGAAAGTCTGTGTGAAAGTGAGTAGAAGTAGTATGAAGCCAGCAGCAATTGAAATAATTCCCCAAGGACTATTCAAGTAGTTTCGCCTCAATTTGGCAATCCATCGATTCCTGCGTTTGTTGCAATGAATGTTCACTTTAGCGAAGATTTCAGCATAATGGAAGTCGTTGTTTGTCCTTGTGACAGCATCGGTAATCTTGTTAAATATGTTGGAAACCACTTCATCATCACCTAACCAATTCTCAATAATTTTCCGGCGACAAAGTATGCCAACATCGTTTGAAGAGTCAATGAGGTTATCCAGGAATTCCACATAGTTGGTGACATAATATTTGAAATCTTCGTCTTTACCATACTGCTCGTATGCAATGAGATTTCTGAACAACGTTTCTGTTCTGTCTTCGATGATTAAAGGAAGCATGTGTATAACTCCATTTTCAAACTTGATATCAAACAAACTACATTCTTCATTCTTCACAAACTGAATACCGGCCTCTCTAAGCTCTGTTGCACAATGAATGGACTGACAATTTTTATTGTTGGCCGCGAATTTTTCACTTGTGACGTTTCCTGCAAATGAAGGAAGCCAGTAACTGTGTATTAACCCGAGCAAATGCTTAGCATTTTTTGGTGAACTTCCTTCAATACTTTTTCTATGAACTGGTAGAAGATCGCGGAAAAAATCCAAGGCCAGATTAATGAACCTGCTGTCATCAGGTTTTGCATCAATCATGTAGAACAACTTGCGAAGAACAAAGAATGGAAGCTGGTTTTCGAACAACATCAAGTCACGTTGCAAGCTGTTAACAATCCAGTCCATTGGAAAAATAGGATCATGCTCGTCTCTCAAACTAGAATCCACAAACTTTCGGATCAATTCAATGATGAAGCAACCATCCAGTACCATCATTTCAACCAATTCATTTTCGTTCATCATTTCAACCAATTCATTTTCGTTCACGCCTATGGGTTCTCCATAACACTTACGAGTATCTTCTTCTAATAACCTCATAGCATCCACATATTTCTCCACAGTGATCTCTTTTTTTTGTTCGAGAAGTAATTGAAAATAGTGCAACTTGTATTTATTCGTTGCCTGTAGTGTAATTGTACTACGATGATAAGGACCAATTGCAATAATCTTTGGTTCATAAGCCGTTTTATTCACATTGCGTAATTCGCCATGTACTCTAAATATACAACACTTAGATTGTGAAGGGGAGGGACCATTCAACTTTTCACGAATACTAACACAAACCTCCTCTACTCGCACGTTGGATTGCATATTCGTTTAACAAGTAAATTAATTACCTGTTCCATAATACAATGAAAAGCATGTCATGAGAAGACAAGTATATGGCACAAACCCAGAATCAAGAATCTCTAACAAGCCATGAAAGAGGTCAAACTAATGAACTAAACAAGTCTTTATGGTTCACAATTAGCTATTTTAAATCTTATGAACCGATGTTTTACTCTTTTCTTGGCTTAAAGATATCATTTTTTCCTTTGAACATAAGAGCTAGCAATTAATATTTGAAGGAAAGTATAGTATCATAATGCAATGTTAGTTGCTATCTTCTATTTTCACCCAAAAGAATTAGGCCTTTAAGGAGCAACTCACTAGAAATAATTTGAAGGTTCCAAAATTTTGCTTTACATGTACATTTTGACCCCTCAACTATGCCCATGTGTCATATTGTCCCCTCAAATATCAACTTTATCACATTGTACCTTTAACTATTATTACTGATTTCAAATTGCCCCTCAAATATCACATCTCTCATGTTGTACTTCTAAATATGGTTATTAGTTTCGCATTGTCTGATTATATACAGCATAAAAGTGTATTTTTCCTACACATTAATAAATTTACTATTTAAATTTTTTAGGACTTTTGGTTTTATAGCAGTGTAAAACCAATTCAAATAGGTGAAGAGGGTACGGTGAAAAAAAAAACTAATAGTTGAAGGGTAAAGTGAGATCAAATATATATTTGAGGGGTTGAAATTGTAATTTCTCCTATTGCCAATACAACTTTATAAGCCTTTGATTCGTTATTGTTGTAGCCGATCTATATCGATTATCCACGGTCAAATTTATTGAGTTTTATTTGTGGGTTGCTAACTATGCTTTTACATAAAATCTCAATTAATTTAATGGTAAATCATTAAATATGATTAAAAATTAACAAGACTTGAAATTAAGAGGATCGAAATCTTAGCACATGCACAAAAAATAGTTAGAGGAGGTAAATACAACCAATTATGCAACAAATGCAATTTCATCATACTTTCTATGATTAGCATGATTCTACCATGAGTATGACAATTCACATATACAACTACCAAAAAGATCATAGTTTTTATCAAACCAAAAAGATCAAAAATGAAAAGAAGGGCAGAGTAGATAGAAAAGAAACTCACCTGCTAAACTTCCTTGCTCCTCTATCTGTCTCTCTGAGAAAAGATGCTCACCTGGTAAAACCTCCTTATTCCTCTCTCTCTGCAAGATCTTCGCAGATCGAAAAACCAAAGATGAAGAAATGTGTGAGACACACTCGTTTTGTTGACAATGGGTTGTGGTATCTAGGAAACGTTGACTGGATAGTAGAAGAAGAAAAAAAGAAACTTCGTGGAAAGCAAGCACAGGCCAGCACAAGGGCCCCACTAATTTTTAAAGGTGTAATTTCATTCGAGATCACTAAAATATTGAGTTTTTCTCTTTTTAATTCTCAATATTTTAATTAAATCATTTTAATCACTAAAAAATTAAATATATTTTTATGTGATCGTTTAAAAAAACATTTAAATTGCTACCACATGATACCTAAATATGTATAAAAAATAATATAAGTAACTCTTGACAAAAAATGAATAATATAGGATCAAAATTATGTAATTTAAGTAAAAATTTGGTTAAGAGTTATCCAAATTATTTTTTTGTCTATATTTAAGTATTACATGATAAATTTAATCAAAAATCGTTAAGAATTTAGATGTTGTTTGTTTGCAAGATCACATATAAATATATTCAATATTTTAGGAACTAAAATAACATAACTAAAATGTTATAAGCTAAAATAACATACCTCGTCTTTAAATAAGCTATGTCCATAGGTTAAGACTACATGTGCATCTTCCTCGAGGGTATTTTGACATTATCCAGAAATTCCATGTCAATGGCCCTCGGAATAATTTTTTATTAGATATAATAATATCAGATGTTGATAATTACATGATATGATCATTGTATCTTTAACAACAAATAATAAATGTAGAGTATCTTAAATACACGTTATATGACCGTTCAATAATTATAATCTATGGGTGTGTATATGTTAAATACTTACAAGCGCATGCAGGGCGGAGCCAAGATTTTGCCTCAGTGGGGTCAACCTATTTATAACTGATTAAAAAATAAATTTATCTAATTAAATTCAAGTTTAAGAGTTCGTCATTAAGTTCGTAACAAATAAAATAATGAACTACATATAATCAAAATATAATCCATAAGTCTAAAATATAATCCTAACTAGAGTTTCAAGAAATCTATTATAATAATTTAATCATAGAAGAGAAAAATAACACTAACCAAGAATCTCAAATAACCAATTTGAACATGGGTTTTAACAAAAATCTAAAATAGTTGAGTGGTGACTTGAGAAAAAATAAAAAAAAACCTACATAAGTCCATAAATAATATACCAAACAACCATTAATTTTACAAGATTTAAACTGATTTTCTAATTTAAAAATCTGATTTTAGATTAGTGCTAATACTACTATCAAAAAATTCGATGAATAGATTACCTCTCCTTAGTTTCAACATAATCTTTTAGAATTTCTTCAAATTTGATTTACTCAATGATTGAATTTAATTGAATAATTTGTTGATGAATACAACAAAAAAACTAATAAAGAAACTACATAAAAGAAAGAAAAGGGGTTGCTGGCTAGACACCTAGAAGTCTGAACCTAGAAGACAAAGGCTTACAGAAAAAAAAAAAAAAAAAAAAACAAGCATGAAAAGGAGTTGCCAAAAGGTAACTTTTAAGGGTTTAAAATTATATTAATATATTCTATACTTTAAAAAAAATTTAGTGTGGTAAGTTTAAGAAATTCTTAAAATTTTTTTAAAATTACACTTAGATCTCAAAATTTTTTAAAATTTTAGTGGGGGCAACTGCTAGGCGTGCAAAATGAGAAGGAGTTGCCAAAAGTTAGGTTTTAAGAGTTGAAAATTATATTAATATACTCTATACTTTAAAAAAATTTCAGTGGGCACAAGTTTAAGAAATTCTTGAAAATTTTAAAATTATACCTAAATCCCATATTTTTTAAAATTTTCAGTGGAGGCAGCTGCCCCCATGCTAAATCCGCCACTGAGCGCATACATTTTATTCCTTTAACCTGCTTATCAAATGCAAAAATGTAACCTACTAATTTTTTTTCTTGCATTTCATTCGAATAATTGAATTTGGGGATTCAACCAATTAAATCCTCCTAATTATTCAATGATAACGATTATACCCCTACAGCTAGTGTGCAAAAATAAATTAAAATAATCTATAAGAAGAGCATCACATTGGCATATATAACCCATTGCTGCTTTCTAAAGTTCAAACATTAGGGGATACAAATTAATCATGGCTGGCTCAAACAAATCGAATCATAAAAGTGCAAGTCCTGGAAAAAAAAAAAAAAAAGCATCTAAGGCTAGAAAATAAGGTCAATGGGGTCAATCGAGTTGTGCCGTATCATTTTTGTATCATATTACTTTCAATCGTATTATTTTCATATTGGGTCATTTTCGGTACGTATACAGTTTGTGTTAATATTCGCGTCAATAAAAAATTATTTAATTTCACAACAACTTATATAATACTATTTCAAAATTTTCAAAAAAATTATAAAATTATTAATTTTTGTCTACAATATTGGTTAAATAATTATTTTTTATTTACAGTACTCATTAATCGTGTTATTTGTGTCAAACTTTAATTTGACCTATTTATTACTCGTATTAACTAATCGTGTTAATTTTAAATTTTGTGTTGAGTCGGGTTCGTATTAATTGATAAAATTGACACCCCTAATAAATAGTCACTTTTTAAAAAAATGAATAATGTTTGTTAACCTTTCTTTTAAATTTTTTTTTTTTGTAAACCAACAAGAACTCATCATTAATCCACCCTCGTCAAAAGGAAATTATAATCAAAGTTAAAAAGTTACTATGATGGAGATTGTTATTTCTTGGTTCTAGATTACTTATGCTATGTTTTGTAGAGAGAATAGAAAGTAAGAAGAATATATTTTCTATCCTTTAAAAATAGAAAGTAGGAAGAATACAATTTTTCTACTTTGTGCTTGGTTGGATCAATGGAAAATAAAAATAACTATTTTTTTTTGTGCTGGTTAAGATTAAGAATGACAATAGAGTCGAGTCGTGTCAGATTCGTGTTGAATCATTACAAGTTTGTGTCGAATATTAGTTAAACTTAACTTAACTCATTTAACTAATTTTGTTGTGTCAAGTTGCGAGTTGACCTATTTATTTTCGTATCGAGTTTGTATCATCGTGTTGAATCGAAAATTTTCACCCTTAATTAAGATGGAAAATTTTTTTTTTTAATTAAATTTTTTTTAAAAATTTTTTAAAATATATATACATATTTTACCATTGTATTTTTATATGAAATTAATGTATACATAAGATATATAGACAAATAAGGTATATTTCAACACAAATAATTAATTTTTCATCTATTTTCCTTCTAATTTTAGAGAAATTAATTTTGATGAGTTTAAAAAAAAATTAATTCATTCACTTTTTCATTCTTCCTACTTCTCTACCGTTCCTACTTCTCTACCGTACCAAAGCATTAGGAAACGGAGCATTAGGGAAGGAGAACGACGTTGCTTTTGAGGTTTTCTTTTGGACCTATTTATACAAAAAAGTGGTGTAATTGTAACAAATTTCTAAGCAAATATTTAGGGTAATTATTGGTCATCATAGGCTCTTCTCTCTAGGCATGATGTAGCCTTCCAAAAATAATGACGTGATATTCTAGTAGAAGTTGCTACTTCTTGCCCAAGGTAGGATTGCTGATGAAATTAATTTTCTACCCTTCTTGACTGTTTCCGAGCTGGTGCACTTATAATTGACCTGACCCAAGTTTCAGCTGTGTAATTTCTTCTGTGAAATCGAGTTGAGAAGCACAGATCTGAAACTTAAAAATCTAGATCGAGAAAAAAATCATACCTTTTGCAGTCGTTGATGCACACATTTGTGGTCTCCGTTGAACCCGATGTTGGGTAGTGCATAGGAGGTAGATTCGAGAATGGGGATGGAAGGGCGCGGCTCCTCTGCTGTTGGAGGAAAACAACAGTGTGCTGTTAGGATAAATGACACCGTTTTAATAAGATTTTCCTTTCCAAAAATTTTCCACCGCAAAATATGCCTGTGAAACTCTCATTTCCAGTCTCTCTCTCTCTCTCTCATGTTCTACAGACCCACGAGCTGCACTTAAAATTAAACCCTCTCTCTCCACCCAAGTAACCTTTCTTCTCTACACTCTCCTATCGCCTCTTTCCTCCTTATTCTCTCATTTTTCGAGTCCAAACAAGCCCAAGCAATTTACCCAATCATCACAAGCAAGCATGAATTAATCTGAAGTGCAAATATGTGAAAAATATTGGATCTTGAGATAGGGGGTTTTACAATTCCAAAAAAAAAAAAGAGCGGGAATTCTAAAGAAAATGAGCACCTGCAAAAAATTTTAGACTCACTTGTTTACAGAATCTTCGTATTTCATTTTGTGGGATAAATGGAATATTATTTCCTCATGAAACAGACGTAAGGCATGGGTTTAAATGAACCTATTTGAAAAAATTCCTTGAAATTGTCGAAGTTGAGAGCTTGACAGCCATTAGAGGAGCTCATGGACAGAAAACTATAGTTTGCAGAAGATTAATTTATTTGTGTATGTATAATTGCACATGCGTTTATAGGTGTTTGCGATAGAGAAGAATAAAGAACCCTTGTTTCGCATAGGGAGAGTTATAATCACTGTTAAAAATTTTAGGAGTTTTAGGAGAGAGTTTGTATAAGAGAGAGGGACTGTGCAAATGCAGGTACAGAGGATATGTGTATGGGAGAGTTTCATGGTGGAAAAATTTTGAAAATGAAAAATCTAATTAAAACGGTGTCGTTTATCCTAACAGTACACTATGTTGTTTTCCTCCAACAGCAGATAAGCCACGCCCGGGGATGGAAAGGGGATGCAGTAGAAAAGGGATTTAAGAAAAGCAGTAGAAAAGGGATCCAAGCTTACCTTACTTCAGCGAAGAGAGACACGACGACTGATGAACCAATGACGATGGACTGGTGAGAAACGACAACCGAAGTTTGTTTTGAGCAAAGAGGAAGAATACGAGCGAGAGATACGTATGGCTGGGGCTGAGCACTTTTTGATAATTTTGCACAGATATCCAGCCTAGATTAAAAATATTCCACCTCCCCTGGGTTTCATTTAACCTAACTACAAATGTTAATGCTGATTTTTCAACTCGGGTCAAGATATTAGCGGGTGGGATTTCCGATGCCATTTTACTGGACTCTACCTTCTTTTATATCCAATCCTACTGTATATATCTATATCTATTAATAAGATAGTTAACTGTTTGAAGTTATGGGATATATTTTTTTCCCCAAATTTCACACTTTTTCCTCTCAAATTTCACAAACCTAACACAAATATTTCACAACACATAGCTACACATACTCCAGTATATACTCACTATACATACACGTACACACATTTTATATATACACTCCAGCTGTATACACACACTCCAATACACGCATAGTATCATAATTTAATATTTAGTGATTTCAATTACTGGGTATCGCTAATCCACTTATATCGGGTGATCCAAATATACCATTACGTTGTGTTTGGTACATAGTATTAGACTTTAGGAATGGAATAACTATTCCTTAGTAATACTCATTCTTTTGTTTGATTTGTGGGAATAAAATTTTATTCCTATTCTTAAGGAATAATTAATCCCATGATTAGTCATTTCTAAATAAACCAATGTATTACTCATTCTTTTACCGTCGATAATCGGCCTAAATTAAGTCGACGAAACCGGATGGTCCTCTTCCTCTGCTTCTCGCTCCTCTCATCGTTCAGCCCCAGACTTCTTCTCTCCTCTCATCTTCTCTCTTCTCCTCCCTTCACCTCTATGACTTTTCCTTCATCAGCGGAAAGCATGACAGTCCATCCCTCCCCAGCCATTGAATAAACTTCTTGCATCAAAGGGCCCTCTGAAATCACCATTTGCCCACCAGCATGGGTAATTGGCTCAGCATCACCAACGGGCTTGAATAGATAGGCTCCACTTCCTGAACTAGAGTACACACCTATTTCTTCACCAACAACATTTTGTGAACCATCATTGCGGCCTATTTTTTGCAACAAACCAAGCTTTACATTGAAGGTAAGTTTTTGATGCCGATTCCGGATTTCAGCTGTGTCGCCTTCTAAATTTGAGCATGCATATGGAGCAAGGCACGATAGATTGCTGGATGACGTGAAAATTTTGAGTCTTGTTGGTTTGGCCTTTTCGCATCCAACAAAACCGTTTGCAACATAATACGTTTGCAACCCCATGGCAGGAACCGAAGCTTTCCAATAGACACGATGCCTTCCGGTAAACATCTTTGCTTTTATCACAACCTCATTTCTAGTTCGTTCCAGAAGATTAAAAAGGACCACTGTAATTGGGTTGTGGTGATTTGGGTCTTACTTTGAAGGTGTTTCAGAAAATTTTTGACAGAAGCATGGTTTGCTAGATTTCTATGATTGATGGGTTTTTTTTTATAATGATAGACCCTATAGGCTATAAAATTATTCCAGAAAATGGTGGAATATGTATTTAACAATTTCTAATAAGTAAATTTCATGCATTGAGCAACCTTTTATGAGGACTGTAAGTTGGCAATTTTTTTTTCGGAATGTAAATTGTAAGTTGTCAATTAAGTGTTCCTAACATTATTTGTGGGTCATAGTATTTGAATTTGATGCAGTTAACCCACATGTTAACTCACAAATTTGTGACCACTCTTGTTTAATCAAATACGAAAACGATAAGGAAGAAGTTTATTGGAACCTTTGAAGTTATGTAAATGATTTGATTTTGATGATAAGGGATGATATTAAAGGTGTTTTATTGGTCATTTTGGCCGTTATTATAGTGTTGATTTGTTTGAAATTGGATAAGTCCTAGTAGTTGTTATTTCTGGAATCCTGAAGTATTGGATGGACATGGATGCTGAGATTGCTGAAGACTTTATGGTTTTGGCTGCCTCTGAAATCAAGGATAGGATTGTGCAAAGTTCATACCTAATTTAAGATTATTATTTATTGAGCCCGAATTGGATAACTTGATTTCAACTCGAGCTTGCTCGAAATCAACTTGAACTTGCCTGAAATCAACTCAAGTAGTACTCGGGTTGACTATTCCGGGTTAGGCTGAAGATTTTATACATAGAGATGGGTCAGGGTTGATTCTTCAATCCGTCCAAGTTGCACCTCTATTTATCCATAGGTTGATAACAGAAGCATTATAGTTAAGGAAACAAAGTGTTGTTAAACTATTCTCATATATAAAGTTTCAAGGGGAGGGGGGGGGGGGGGGGGGGGGGATGCTATGCCATTACTCATTTGTACATGTAAAAACTACATCGGAAAACAACATTGATCCACATACTTCTGTAGTGAAATGTGTATCATGGCTACCTCTACTCCTTAATATTATGTTTATGTCAATCTTTTAGACGGGCAGATTATGGCTAACTACCTTCAAGGCTCAAAAATGCCATGTAAGAAATTATATTGGTACACTTCTAAAATATTAAAGGGTTAAATGCGAGATTTTTTATTTTTGAGAAGGTAAAGTACAATTTTTAAAATTTTGGATTAATTGCAGTAGAAGTCTCCAAAATATGATATTTGTCTCATTTTAATTCACATTATTTCAATTGCCTCATTTTGATCCCTAAAGTAGTGAATATGTTTTTATTTGATCCTTCAAGTAGACGACGTCCAAATTGCTAACGATTTTTTATCATAAACTTGCAACGTAATAGCTAAATATGGACAAAAAATAATTTTGATAGCTCTTAAACAAAATTTAAGTAGTTCTTGACAAAAAATATATAATATGGGTAGCTTTTGATCAGATTTGAGATATCTCATGATCAAAATCGTGTAATTTAGGTAGTTACTTCACCAAAATTTGAGTAAAAATTTGGTCAAGAGTTATTTAAATTATTTTTTTATCCATGTTTAAATATCACGTGACAAGTTTATAAGGAAAAAAATCGATAACAATATGTATGCTGTCTGCTTGAGGGACATTATAGAAACATATTCAATATTTTAAGGACTAAAATAATACAATTAAAATATTGAGAACTAAAATGAGCTACTTAAATTTCGTGCAATTAACCATAAAATCTTTGAGGGGAAAAGTGCAATTAATTCTACAAAGAAGATATATCTTCAATCGAACAAAATTGATAAGAAGCGGTTAGGATTTAACTTCCGAATTTTACAAGGGAATTCCAAAGAGGATAGAATAAGCGGTTGAGTCAATTTGTGTTCCTAACTGCCAAACTCTTGTTCAATTGATCTAGAAAAGCTAACAGACGAATTTCATTGGCTGACCAACGAACTCCATTTGAAGCATTCAAGACAATACTAGATTAATGTTTTAAAATAAAAAAAAATTAGGCTCCATTGACTAAAAAAAACATAAAAATTATTATTATTATTATTTTGATAAGCCAAAAATGGGTGGGGGCAAAAGAGAGTACCCAGAGACCACCTCGATAAGCTTCACTGGTGGGATTATGAGATTTCTGACTACTCTCATTACACTTCTTGGAAATGAACTTAATTAGACTAATATAACGATCAACCACCGACCTCCAAACATAAAAATCATTGATCAAATGATGTGATGCCGATATAGTAATACTTTTAATCATATTTTTATGGATCTAACTTGAGTACCGCCTTTTCAGTATGGTACCGAAAAAGTAAGGGGTTTAAAGAGTTGACATCTGTGTATCAAAAACTCACAACTGATTTCACCGATTTCTCCCAAAAAATAGTACTTTACCTAAAAAAAAGGTATCATATTTTCAAAAAGTGGTAACTTTTCAAAATGGTGTCTTATCCCAAAAAGTGATACCTTACCCCCAAACAGTTATTATTTATCCCAAAAAAGTGGTACATTTTCCTAAAAAATGGTACCTTACCTCAAAACAGTTGCAATTTATTTTCAAAAAGTGGTACATTACCCCCAAACAGTTGTACCTTACTCCAAAAAAGTGGTAATTTACCCCCTAAAAATGGTATGTTACCTCAACAAAAGTGATAACTTACCCCCAAATAGGGGTGTCAAAATTCGACACGACACAAATTAAACAGGTTTAGGTGAGATCTTAACGGGTTTGAGTGATAAACGGGTTGACACGCCAAACACGTTTAATAAACGGGTCGTGTTCGGGTGAGACCTGTCAAACCGTTTATCACACGTTTACCCGTTTAAATAAAATTAATATAATAATAAATTAATAATTATTTAAAAAAATTAGCAATAAAAAAAAAGTAAAGAAATCAATAAAAAAAAAAAGTAAAGTAGTAATTCAAAGACAAATGAGAAGAGTTGGAGAGCACTTCAAAGGCAAAGGCAAATAAATGTCTTTTGTTTTTGTCCCACATTGTAAAATGAGGAGAGATGAGGAAGGTTGAGTTGCCTATAAAAGACAATAACCTCTTACTTTTATTTTTAAAGCCTTTAAGTCTTATTTTTCAAAGACAAAAGAGAGGAGTTGTAGAGCACTTGAAAGACAAAGGTAAACCAATGTCTTTTGTTTTTATCCCACATTGAAAAATGAGGAAAGATGGGGAGGGTGAGTTGCCTATAAAAGGCAATAGTCTCTTGCTTCTTTTTTTTTAAAGCCTTTAACTCTTATTTTTATGAGATTTGATTTAAAATTCCTCTTTTTTGAGGTAAGTGGAATTAGTAGTAAAAAAAATGGAGTATTAAAATTTGTTAATATAATTTTTTTAAAATTAAATGGGTTAAATGAGTCGTGTTCTATTACCCGTTTATTAAATGGGTCATGTTTGTGTTGAGATTTTTTACCCGTTTATTAAACGTGTCGTGTATGAGTTTATACATTTTTCACCCGTCACCTGTTTAATCTGACACGTAACTGTTTAACCTGACACGATTGACACCCCTACCCCCAAACAATTGTAAATTACCCCGAAATTATTGTATCTCTACTCCAAAAAAGTAGTAACCTACCCTCAAAAAGTTATACATTTCCCCCAAAAATAAGTGGTATCTTACTTCCAAAGAGTTGTAATTTACCCCCAAAAAGTAATATCTTACTTCAAAAAAGTTGTACCTTACCTTCAAAAGTGGTAACTTATCCCCCAAAAGTGGTAATTTACCCCCACAAAAGTGATACCCGACCTCCAAAAAAATAATACATTACCCCCAAACAGTTGCAACTTACCCCTAAAAAGTGGTCACTTACTCCCAAAAAATGGTACTTTACTCCCAAATAGGGATAACTTATCCTACAAAATGGTAACTTACCCGAAAAAGTAATAACTTACCCCATAAGTGATAACTTGCCTCGAATGTTAATTAGATGATAACACTTTTATTCCTTAAATATGGATATTTTTTCAAATTGATATCTAAATTATCAATTTTTTTTAATTTTATCTATAAAGTATAATTCAGAAAATGGACATCACATTGACCTCCAAATTCATTCAACTAACATTGAACTCATCAAATTAATATTAAATATTAATCAATTAACATTCAATTCGTCAAATTAACATTCAATTCATCCAATAAATATTCAATTGATCAAATTAACATTTAATTCACCTAATAAATATTCAATTCATTAAATTAACATTGAAATTCAATTCATTTAATTTCTCTTCAAATTCATCCAATTAAAACTCAACTTATCAACTTAATATCCCAAATCATCTAATAAAGTTTCAATTTATCCAATCAATACCAAAGTAACATGCAAATTCTTCCAATTAATATTCAATTAATCAAATTAACATTCAATGTCATGTTAATAGACTTAAAATTCGTAAAAATATAAAATTTAATCAGCTCAATCGTCTCAAATATTTGTATAAAAATAAATTTTAATTGGCTTGAATTTTAATATGTAAAAAAAAAAAATTAATCAACTCAAATTTTAATCGATTTGTACGTATAAAAATTGTTGGGATTTGATTGAAAATATGTCCATCCAGCACAGGAGTAGATGAGAATTACAAAAAAATTGATTTTACATCTAACCAGTCGTGATGTTGCCAAGATCGTAACAAAACCAATCATATTGATTGTAGCACAATACCGATCATTTGACCGATCATTATTTGAATAGATAGTTGACTGCTGCCATACGATTTGTCTTGATTCCGGCTACATCGCTAAGTTTGATCGGTAATCTTAATCACTAGGACAACTAAGATCGGTCCGAATTTAAGTTATATAGCTGATTGCTAAACATGCTTAGCTCTGACAGCTAAGCTTAATTGGTAAGCTTTGATCAGTAGGACAATTAACACCGGTCCTGATTTACAAAAAAAAAGTGCTA